CTCTCTCTCTCTCTCTCTCTCTCTCTCACCAAATCCAATAGTACTCCAATAGCAGAGAGGTTGTTTCCTGTTTATAGGAAAGTTAGGTATTCTACCTAAGGTTCCCTACCTACACCCAGGTTTGCCTAATTATCTGTTTGACCTCCAAGTTCCATTTCTATTCGCCCTGAGAGTTTGATACCATTGCAGCTTCCAAATCCCAAACACAACTCACACAGATTATTCTGAATTGGAAACTGGGTTGTCATATTCCTCTGACTGGTAGTCCTACTGTGGAGAAGGTCGGATTCAAGGGTTCTCAGAGGCCTTCGAGGTAGCCTCATGGGTGGGTCCAGAGCCTCAATCTGTCTGAGGAGCTGGGATGCAATCCAGACTCCATCTTGACCCCAAGACTCATCATATGCGCCAGGTGGCGTGGCAACCTCATCCCTCTTTTCCTGCTTGTCTCTCCCACAAACTTCAGGGTGAGTCTTCAGATCTTTCACCAGGACATTGCGCCCACAATTGCAACATAACTCTGTCCGGGCACCACAGTAATCTTCATGGTCCTTCAGTTTGAGAACAGAAAGCTCCAAATCACAGTGCTGGCAAAGGGCAGGGCGCAGAGGGCACTCAGTCTCCTGCAACAGAGTTAACAAGTGGTTAATGTGTTTAGCACATGGCAAGGGAAGCAAAATTATTCATTATTCTCTTGGGACCCTGCTTTCCTTGCCGTCAGATCCTACAAAGGAGAGGGAAGGAGTCTCTCACAGGGTTCTACTTACTCAACCACTCCAACTACCATCATTTTGTGCACACATTACAAAGTAGCCCAAAATCAGCCAAAAAAAACCCAGAAGCTAGCAAAAACACAGCAATGGAAGCTTATCTATCAAAGCTCCAACAGCTCAATCTTCCCTTGCACTCCAATTCATCGAGTACCTGGTAATGAGGGAGAAAGACCGCCTTTTAGAAAGACATGAATTTTTCTAATCAGAATGCCTGTATAATGCACTGCCTTTCAATTGACCAAATAAACTAGGAATCATCAATAAAGATAATTCTAAGTGTAAATATCCTCAGCAGATGAAGGACAAAACTTTTATTCTTTACTGGAAATTGTCAGTAAAGCACACACAAAAAAAAAAATCAAAAGGATTAGTATCCTTATATAAAGGGATACAATATATAAACTCTAAAACTTGGGAACCTAATATCATCATCATTCAAAAATTTGATATTTTACAACCACTGTGTCAAAGAGCTACAATTTCTTTACATACAAATTAAAACCACACTATTATTCTAAATGCTACTGCAAACATTTTTAGCACTGTTTGTTTCCCTCTGTGACTCCCAGAAACAGTTGGGAGAGAAACTAGGACAGATGGCAGTTGATTAGAAGCTGTTTTATGGAGCAGGTAGATGTTAAAGACCCAGAGAAACACTTATTATTGCTAATGTGACTTCAATCATAAGCCTGGCTTCTCCCCCAACCAAGGAGCAGTGGAACTTTTAGGCCCAGTGCTTAGAAAATGATGAAAGCTAAGAGTGCCATGTATTTATGGCACTTTCTGAGTTATGGTAACTTTGAGTTGTCTCTCAGAAAGGAGGTTAAACCTGGTTCTTGATTTCTTATGTTTTCTCCACTGAATATGAATTACTGTTCATAATTAAAGGTAATTTAGTTGCAAACTCATAAACTATTAGTTCTTTCACATAAATGGATGAAATGCACATATCTTTTTTTTAATAATAATATATTTATTTTTACATCATTTTGTGCATTTTTCCATCTCAGTTGTAATCCCCGTGGGCTTCCCATCCCCAAACCACCCTTGTGCCATCACCACAGTCCACTGCGAAATGCACAAATCTTAACTGCATTAACTTAATTTTTATGAGCACATACACATTCCTATGTGATGGCCAATAAAATAGTTGCTGGGATTTTTTTACTGGTGCATGAATGTGCTCATTCAACTATTGTCAGTTTTATCTCAAGAAACAAACACTACTATGTGTTCTCTGTGGCATTTCTTCTGTATGCTAAAAATTATACCACACCAGCAGCTGAACAGTCAAACTCTCTTGCGGTGGCAAATACAGTGCAATGGACTAGTTTTCTGCCCCTCGGGTGGCTGTGTATGCTTAGGATTGGCTCCAGGGTGATTCACTCACTGTATAATGCAGGGAGACTAACCTCATGATTCTTTAACTGCCTCTTCTCCAACTTCATATTACATTTGCAGGTCACCTAGGTTAAGAAACTAGAATCAGTGAATGTGCTTTATGAAACACTGCTTTTGCACAACAGCAAGTACAACACACTTACAGGCGTCTGAGCGGTTGCTGGCTCACCTGACAGTGTTCTGTGGCCATGTGAGCCTCCATATCAGACTTAGGAAATGGTTCCTTGCAGACAGGGCACATGCCAATGTTCCTTTGACAGTGGATCTCATGGATAGTAAAGTTAAACACAGGAATTTCTCTTTTGCTACAGAACGAAATCAAAGAAAAAGGGCAAGCATTACTGCAAGATCTATGCCCTTTCTTACACAGTGGTATCCCATGAATCAAATCTGTCCTCCCTAGCCGATATTTAGTCTCCTTATATCTATTTAGTATTAGTCTATACACTATATGACTACTATCACCCTGCATTTCAAGAACCAGTGCAGTGCTATGGACTGCTTCTAACATCTCCACATTCTGAAAGTTAGAGCTGATCACAGCCAACAGGAAGTAACACGCCAACAGGTGATTAATGCTTTTCCAAACCATCCGCGCCCCAAAGCACAATGATGCTCTCCAGAATTGAAAATGAAACCAACACAGCCTGTCATTTATTTTCACCCTCAGTCTGAAATGATTAAAATCTCATTAGTTTATTCCACAAAAGTCAAACCAAAAAGAGCAGATGCCAGCTTTGGAATAGATAGTAGGGAGAGAGAAATTGCCTCTTGTATTTCATATACCTTTCAAAGCAGGATGGATGCTGGTCAACAACATGCACCCTAGCCAGGCTGGCATAGAGTTTATCACGGAACTGGCCCCTTTCCCCCGATTCCGCCTCCTCACTAACTTTTTGCCATTCATCTTTAGTTTAAAAGGTCCAATGAAAGATGATGTCTAAGTTATGGAAGAAAACGAAAATGACAATCTTAGGTGGAAGAGTAAGAATGGTAAAACCTAACCACAATGTATGTATTATATACTCAACTAGAAGCACATAGTATTCAAAGATTCCACTTTTAATCATTTCAATGTGACCACTGGAAACACCAATTTCAGTCTAAAGGTTACATTAAAAGAATGTGCCCATAAAGATGTCACCTGTAAAATTTCAGAAAAGGGGCCTCCTTGATGGCACAGGGGTTAAACTCAGAGCTATCAAGCTATCATCAGCACAGATTCAATCCCCGCCAGGGAGCTGACTCTCATAGCGCAGCAGCCCTCTCCTGACCCGCCCGCTGCTCCCCCCTCAGCAGTGTGTTTCAGTCCATCTGCCTGTTCTGCTCCCCACTGTCTCTGGTGAATCCTCTCACCCCCAACATCTCTGGCCTATAGCCCAGTTCTTACATGCATAAGTAAATAACTCTTTTAAAAGAATTCAGAAGGAAGAACATACGGAACAGGATTAATAGTCATGTAGTAAATATTTAATATCCTATTTTACTTCTGACATTGAGTACTATAGAAATCCTCTCCCACCCTAAAATGTAAAGGGCTTTATTCCTTTTTTTTTTTAAATCCTTTAAACATAATCTAAAAACCATTTCAAAGAAGAATGAATAATGTGCCACCAGCTATACTTCTAGTCCTGATCTCAGACACCAAATAAATATACATACTTTTACTCAGTGATGGAACAACCAAGACACTCTTCTAGTAAAACTGGAAGGTGACAGAAGAACAATCAGCAGTGAGGCTTGAGAAGGAAACTTAACTGGCTAAAAGGGGGAAGCTACCAGTGACTGTTCCAGAATCTCCACTGCAGGAGGAAGAGCACTGAACAGGGGCCATTTCCCCTCCTCCACTATATGCAGCCAACTTGGGTTACGAGTGCCAGCAGCTACGAACTGGAATTCATGAGTGGGGCAACTGGGAAGGCGCAGATGGAAGCTGGAGACATGGGAGGAGACGCGGAAGGAGCAACATGTAGCGACACCTGGAGGAGAGGCTTGGGAAGAGACAAGTGGAGAAGGTGTTCCTGGCCCTTGGCATAGACAGTGGCAGCTGTTATCATGACTTCATGCTACAGATTATATTTTGAATTCTGAGTCACACCTCTCCCAGTTCTCTGAGAACTGCCTAATCTGTTGTGATTCTTGCCAAGAAGGACCTTAGATGTGTGACAAGCTTCCCTGACTCAGTGGCCCCTCTTCAAGCCAGGTTTATTTAGCTGGGTATTTGTCCACAAAAGGATGGGTAATTGGGGATTTTTTTTTTTTTAGTTTTATTTATTTATGCATACAAAAGCTGGGCAGTAGGCCGGAGGTGCAGAGGCAGGGAGGCGGAAAGGATTCACCAGAGACAGTGGGGAGCAGAACAGACAGATGTACTGAAACACACTGCTGAGGGAGCAGCCGGCGACACAGGAGGTCTGCTGCGCTGTGTGGGTAGCCCCCTGGCCGGGGATCTACCTCGAGCTAGAGTGGCTGGCCACGGCTTAATACCACTGTCTTCAACCCCTGTGCCACCAGGGAGGACCCCAATTTGGGGATTTTCAGAGGTGGGGGGCGAACTGTTATGTGAAATCCTTTCTATTCTCTTTCTCTTAACGCACACCAATTCTTTTAGAAACCTTTCACACTAAGAGTGTGCTTCCGCTGCCTCAGTGCACACAGATGGCAGGACTCCTTTTAGAGTTTGGGGCTCCTGAGTGTACCTTGACTGCATCCTAACAACTTGACAGATTTAACTCCCCATATTTCTCCTAAATTTCTAGTTTTTAAAGGATATCAGGGTTTTATTTTATTTTTTCCAAAGATTTATTTTATTTATGCATACAGAACAGGGGTACAGGCCAGAAGTGCATGGACAGTGAGAGGATCCACCAGAGGCAGAGTGGGAACAAAACAGGCAGATCGATGAGGTACACTACTGAGGGGAGCAGCAGGCGGGTCAGAAGTCTGCCCACCATGTGAGTCCCCTTCCAGGCCAGGAATTGAACTTGTGCTCAGACAGCTGCGGCGAGCTTCACTTGCTGCACTTTAACCAGCTGCGCCACCAGAGAGGGCCCAAAATCACTGGTTTTAAATAAACTCAGGAAAAAAGTTAAACAGTAGAGTAATAAAATATATACTGGAAAGAGTGTCCTCCTTGGTGGCAAACGGGTTAAAGCACAATACCATGAAGCTATCCGCAGCCACTGCAGCATGGAGTTCAATCCCCTGAAGACCTACACAGCACGGCAGACCTCTCCTGTCCCAGCCACTGCTCCCTCTCAGCAGTATATTTCATTAGATCCACCCGCTCTGCTCCCCACTCTTGGTGAGTCCTCTCATGCCCTCCCCTGACACCTCTGGCCTATACCCCAGCTCTTTTATACATAAATAAATGCTTAAAAAATAAAATGTGTAGTAGAGTTTTAAACCAAAGTAATCATATAAACCTATACAGTTAACAGAAATTAAAATGAGCAAATTCCACTATTAAAGCAGTAAACAAACTACTAGTGGTAAGAAAACTACTTAAAAGCATTCTAGAAATTGTGTTTGTGGGACCAAAAAAATTATATTCTCTTTAACCCAATAATCCTACTCTTGGAATTACCCTTGATTACATTACATCAACAATGAAAACAAGTAGTGCTATTATCATGATTATAAGTCATATATGCACAAAATGACATAAAAACTACGGATGCTAGGTTTATTTATTTTTTTTTTTGAGAATAATTTTCTTTAAATGCAACAATCAAGCAAGTAAAAGTCTATACTTTTTATTTTACAAGGCTATTCAGGGCAACCTACTAACATAAAGCATCCTACATACACAAGGTCACTATAAATTGTTAAAACTAAAACAAAAAATATTAAAGACCATATAACCCTAACAGACAAGAATCAAAAGTAGCTGCCAAGTTATGACAAGTCTTAACTATTCCACATTATCACATTTTAAAAGAAAAAAATTGTAAGAAACACAGAACAATCGCCTGTTTTTTTCTGAAATATAACTGCCAACATACTCCTGACCAACACTCCAAGCAGACAAAATACCAATGTACTTGCTTCCTATCTAAAGATAAAATCAAGCTGTTTCAAATGAGATAAAGAACCTCCTCTTCACCATTCCATGTTTACATAAAATTCTGCTAGAAGCCCCAAGGAAGGATTAGCAAGTTAAAGATGAAATTTCATTTTAGATAGAAATGACTGAAAAGCAAGTCAATCACTTAAAGGCTTCCAGAAAAAAACCCCAGTATCCAAATATTAAAAACCAGAGTTATAATGTGAGTCTTTAATAAATATAAAAATAAAAAACTGTCTTCTAACACTGAAGCTTCTGTTCCCTGAAACTATACTCTCTCCACAAACAGATGATTTTGTACATTAGAAAAACATCTTTAATCAACAAACTCTCTTCTTTTTATGGGCCTGGTGGGTCTAAGGCAGCCCTTACTTTGAAGAATACCTTAACTTCTCTTAGGGAACAGAACTAATGACTTTAAATACAAAATTTTTAAATCTGGAATTTAAAGACACAGGGTCACTTAGACTGAAAGTCCATTCTAGTTTGGTCAGCTTTACTTGCTAATCTGTTTGCCTTTTTTTTTCCATTAAATAATTTGATTTTGACTGTGAATAACCTTGTTTTTCATTAGCTTTCCCTAACTTATGTTTTTTTAACTTCCTCATTATAGTTATTTATATAATGTGCTAAGCTTGAGAGTCCTTCAAATTGGGGTGGATATAATTATTTTGACTGCTGATAATGCAAATAGGTCTGTTTTGCTATAAAATCATAATGATGTTTTCTTGTGATTATTTGTTAGGAGTATTTTATTATCACTACCCATATACAGATAAAATAATTTTTTAAATGGCAGAAAATGATAGTGGCATAGTAAGAATACTCCATAAGGCAAAATACCCTCCCAAAATGAAGTTCCACGCAGGGAAAGAATGTTGTGACCACCAGCTGATCTGGGTATCCTCTCTCTGCAAAATGAGCAGAAAGGAAGCGGGGGAACTTACCTGATTCAAATCTTTCACCAACTTGCATCAAAATATTTTCCTTATCCCATCTTTTTCCTTCCACCACCTCTTAGTAATGGAATACAGCACAGATGCTTCTATTTTGCTTTTCTCTTAAGCTTCTAATAAGAGCACTTGCATGTCACTAAAATACCAAGTTCTCAAGAAATCCCAGTCAGGAGTCAGCCAATTATTAACTGTACTTCTAAGTTTCATTTTCCCAAAAGAGCTGCTCTTTGTCATTCACGTAGGTTAAAATCACACAAACTAGTTTAACATTCAAGACTGTTCTCACTAACAGTTCTGGAATCGAAATGATAATGATTAATCTGAACTGCTGGAAGACCTTAGACCTTTTTTTGCCCTTAAAGCAAAAGAACATTCCTTCAGCAAAATGCTTTATAAAAACAAAAGATTGAGCTGCTCTGGTTTAACTTCTCTCCCTTCTAGATGTAGAGACAATTTCACTAAACCTTTCTTCCAATTAACCCCAGGACAGCTTCTGTGGCTGCTCAGGGAAATCCTTGAAACACTGAACTAGTTCAAACATTTTAAAGGTATTTTTAGTATCTTTTTTAAAATGTATGACATTTTTTAGAAAGACAAAAAATAAATTCTCTTATTTATGGGTCAGGTAAATGAAACTCCAAAGCAGTCAAGAGTTAGTAAAAGTCACTAATGAAAGGCAGAAACTTGAACCTGACTCCCAGTTCGATCACTCTAGTCACTACTCTATGCCACCTAAACCAGCCATCCTGTGTCACACTACTAAACCAGGCTATCCAAGACTGTTGGAGAGGCTTTAACCCCATTCACTTTCACAAAATATTAAAGGGCTCCGATTTTAACCAGCTAAAACTTAACCAACTTTTACAGAAGTTAGTTTATCCTCATTCTAACAACATTTCCCCCCCCAGTAACATTTCTTAGATTTACTTTCTTACCAGTTATCACATAGTCTAGTATTCTGGTCATCTAGGAATTCAGCCATCTTTCCTTCTTCCTGCAACTACAAAGGAAGATGTGTATCAACTTTCAATTTCATTTCTGCCCAAAGGATGAACATGCAAAAAAAACAGAAACCTAAGGATGACCTGCAAAAAACAAAAGGCAGTGTTTTAAAGCACTTTCTTTAATATCCAACACCCATTAATTTTTCCTTATTATTTTTCAATTTTAAATAATGTGATTTGCAAAACCAGCACAAATAACTCCCATACATTCCTCACCCAATACATCATAAATAACTACAATGAAATTATTAAGCACAAGAAACACTAATACAGCACAATACTAGTAACTAACCTTGTAGATCTTACTCAGATTTCATAAATCATCCCACTAATGCTCAATTTTGTCTGGGTCAAGATCCAATCTACATCCTCACAGCGCATTTGGTTATTTCTCCATAATCATCTTTGAACTGGAATAGCTCTTCAGGCTTTAATATTTCATAACTTAGTTTAGTGTATTTGTTACTTTGTAGAATGTCTTTCAATTTGGGTTTATTTGAAGTTTTGTCATGATTAATACATTTTGGCAAGAATACCACAAGCACAATGTGCTCAACTTGGAGCATTATATCGAAAAGCACATGACAGCAACAGTCTTCTTATTACAGGTGATGACTACTTATCGAGACAGTGTCTGCCAAGTTTCTCCACTATAAAATTTGTCCTTCCTTTTAAACAAGATGTCAGTGCAGACAGCAAAGCAATAACAACTTTATTATCAACATTTACTTAGATGACTCCTCTCCATGATGCAAATTGCTTAGATTACTCCTTCCATGATGTCCCCTAATAGAGCTCTTTAATGGTTTTGGAACTTCCAAACTCTTCAAAACATTCTTTCATTCAACCTATTAAGACTCTTCTGTTGCCAGACACTGCCCGGAGAAGAACAGCATTGTACAAATTCAAGAACTAATGTCTGACTTAACAGATCGATTTAATGATGGAACAAAAATAAGAAATACATATATGTGTGAGTATGCTGATGTACAGTTATGTAGATTAAAGAAAGGAATTTAGAGAAGTAAGGGTGGTCAGGGAATAACTTTCTGTGGGGGTGACATTTAAACTAAAACCTGAAGTGAAAAGGGCCAGCCAGGCAAAGTATGACAGTGGGGTGGGCTGGGGGAGGTTAAGGGGAAGAACCCCTTCGGACAGCTGACCTAAGGCAATGGAGGAGAAAGTAAAGGTAGATCTGGGAAAGTCCAGTGAAAAGGGGGAAAGATTCATGAATACCTTAACATGTAGGGATACTAGATCATATTCCAGACTCAATGGGAAAGGGCAGAGCTTTAAACTAGAGAGCAAGGGGCCCTCCCTGGTGGCACAAGGGGTAAAGGGAAGCACCTGGAAGCTCTCTACAGCCACCGCGGCACGAGTTCGATCCCTGGCCGGGGAGCTGACCCACACGGGCCGCAGCCCTCTCCGGACCGGCCCGCTGGCCCCTCAGCAGTGTGTTTCAGTCGATCTGCCTGTTCTGCTCCCCACTGTCTTTGACGAGTCCCCTCACTCCCACACCTCTGGCCTGTACCCCAGTTCTCGTGTGCACAAATACACCTTTTAAAAAGTTGATTAAGAGTCAAGACAGCCACACTGGGGTCACAATGTTAACTAGGAAGCACCTGTCTCGAAACCAAATCGTGTCCCCTAAAAAGGGAAGCTGACATACTCTCCTGTCCACTTGGTTCTAGGTGTCCTCTCTGCCAGCGCCCAGAAGCAAGGTGGGGGCTCAGATGCGGGACCTGACCGGTCTCTCGCTGCACGAGGCCGGGGGTGGCAGGCCAGGCTCAAGGCCAGCCCCTCGCGGGGCAGCGCGGGCTGTGCCCCCAGCGAGGCGGCTGAGCCTCTCAGCGCCCCCGCAGAAGCTGACCGCGCCTTAGAGGGTCGGCGCCAGGAATGGGAAGCCGAAGGCTCGCAAGTGCGGTGGCAGGGCGGGCTCGCGGGCTGGGGCTGGCGGGGCCTCGGTGGCGGGGCC